GAGGCGCCAGAGGCTTGCTGGGGGCACTCAGACGTCCTGGCGGCGATTCATTGTCCTGGGAGGTCGAAGCCAGACTGTGAAGGCTGGGATGCCTGTGGTTCTCTTGTGGGAAAGCTGGTGTTCCTGAGGCTCTTCTCAGGGTCCTGGGACCACACTGCTTACCCTGGAGGTCGCCCTGTAGGAGCGCGAGCCTGAGGAGCGGGGCGGGTGGCGGGGCCAGAACTTGGCCTTGGTGGAAAGCCGGGCGGCCTGAAGGTGTGCGTGGGCGGTAGCACGTGGGGAGTGGCCGTGCTCCCCGGGGACTGGCCCTGAGCCCCGCATCCAGGTGCCCACCAGGTCTGCAGCCTGCAGGGTCCCGGTGGCCTCAGAGGTCACTCTGCCTCCGTGAGCTTGAGGCCTCCCTTCTGCTACGTGAGGACCTCCACGGGGTTAGGGGGATTAGGTGAGCTGGTGTGGGGTGAGGCCACTGGTGAGTGTGGGTGGGGGCTTGGCCTCCCCCCTGGAAGCCCCGCTCCCCTGCAGGCCCCAGCCTGAGCGCCTTCCTGTGTGTCTGCCCCACCCCTCAAGGTCTGAGGAGACGTCTGGAGCAGATCAGCTGCTCTGTGGTCTGAGCAGGTGGTGTGGGGGTATTGGGAGGGGGCCCGGTGTGGCCCTCAGGAGCTGGGTGGCGGCGGGTCCCAGAGGGGAGGCGGGGGGGGCGTGGCGGGAGGCCCTTGGACTTGGCGCCCACGTGCTGGGAGCCAGCCCTGGGCACGCAGCGAGCTTGCGGACACGCGGCCCCTCCAGCCGGAAGCCGTCCTGTGCATTTGGGATGCTGTTGCCCACGCTGTGTTCCGACGCAGAGGACGCCTCTGGGCCCCGAGCTGCAGGAAAGGTGCCTGTCACTGCGTGCATGTGGCCCACGTGGTTCTCAGGTCTACCTAGAATTGGATTTGGTCGAACGGCAGGGAGGGGACTCTGTGTGGCATCTGGCTCTTCCCGGGGCCTCCTTTGCTATGGCAGGAAGTCCGAAAGGGTGATCTGATGGCCCTTCTCGAATTTCGTTCCCAGCTTGCACTCACGAGGTGTGTGAGGTGCAGAAGGAGGCGTGGGGCCCCTGGGTCCTCGTGGCGAGGACGCCTGGGTGGGCCGGAAGCCGGGATGGTCCGGAGCGGGCTCTGCGGCTGATAACGGGCCGTGGGATCTCACGGGTCCTTGAGGCTCTGTGCCGCGTGGCCCACAGACCGTATCATCGGGGGTCAGGCCCAGGGTCACAGGGAACAAGGGATGAATGGCAGCGAGAACCCTGCTCTGGGGACTCGCGGGGGCCAGACACGAGCGTTAGGAGGTGGGAGGACAGGTTGGGGCGGGCCAACCCCAGGAGCGTGGGAGCCTGTCCGGGGTTCCTTTCGCCCCTCTGTGCTTCACCTCGGGGCCTGGAGTACAGATGGAACAGACGGGGAGGGGGCTTCGGGGAGGGAGCAGGGGAGGGGACGAGACTGTGCTGGTGCGGATCTCCCGCCTGCACGGCCTTCCAGATCTCTCTGGGTCTCCTCCCTCCCGTCCCCCTGGCCTCTGGCCACCACCCAGAGACCCTACCCTGGCAGATGCACCTGTCTTTGCCGGAGGCTTCTCTTCCCCCGGTCTCTGGCTTGCAGCCCGCCGTGCTCCTGGCCGTCCCTCAGAGCCTGGCCGGCCCCTCGCCTGCAGCCGGCTGAGCTGCTGGCCCCTGGCTCTCACTCCTCAGCACACCTCCCGCTCCCCGTCTCCCCTGCAGGTCCAAGCTGCCCCTGGCTCACTTGTGCGCGCCTGGGCCCCAGGTGCCCCCTCGTGTCTGCCAGCCCACCAGCATCCACTGTGCTGGCTTCTGGGACCCCCTAACTCCCCCAGATTCCGAGTGTGCACTTGCTGTCTGCCCCACATGCCATCAGTGATAGAGATTCTGCACCCAAGTGTGTCCCGACCCCCACTGCCCAGTGCAGCCGCCCACACGCGTGTCCTCCGCCCAGGGCTGCCGCCGCGAGTCCCCAGAGCCGGGCTCCACACGGTGTCACCCCGTCTGAGCACAGCGGTGCTCCGTGGTGGCCCAGTGTCCTCCCCGGGGAGCGGGGTCTGAGGGTTGCCAGCCCCCTTGATCCTTTGTCCCCAGAGAGGCTGTGCTATCTGTCACGTTCTGCAGGTGACCCGATGTCCCCTTCCTCTGGGTCCCCCCAGCAGATGTGGGGTGTCCGTGCTGCCTCCTTTTGGCTGTCCTGCGATCTCTCATCTATAGGCGTCCCTGTGAGCTCCTCTCGAGAATGCCAGGCCCTCAGTGCAGGGCCGGCGACTTGTCCATTCTCTCCAGAGCCGGTCACTCTGCGTGTCAGTGGGCGTGGCCCCCGAGCCCAGCACGCCCCCACTGTCCCCACCTTACGGGCCCGGCCCACGCCTGAGGCAAGGGTCCCTGGCTCGGGCCACGGGCCTGCAGCCTGGCGGGCCACGTCTCCACCACAGGCCGCCTCGTGAGCCTGCTCCTGGGGCCCCGGCCTCCCGGGTGAGCGGGGACAGCAGCTCCAGGGGCCCTGGGCGGTGCAGGCGGAAGCCACTGTGCGTGAGTGGCTGTGGAACGGGACAGCGCCAGCGCTCAGGCGTCCCGTGGCTGTGGGGCTCGGAGTGAACGCTTTGTGCGGTGCCCGTGGGCCGTCTGCGGGTTTCTGTTTCCACTAGAAAAGCCGGCTGAGAAGATCCCCCAGCTGGTTTCCCGGGAGACACTCACCTCGGTGCCACCACCCCTTCCCGCACCTTTGTGCTTTCCTACCCCAGAGTATTTTTAGGGTCGCAAGATTGTTTGATTTATGCTTCCTGTGTTTACGATTCATTTTCGTACACGCTGCACTTTCCACCACGTTATCAGATGGAAGGAGGACGATGCGGGTTATAGCCAGGGGGTGTATTTTTCCATCACACGGGGTGATGAGTCCTTGTGCCGATCACAGAAACGACTCCCCGAGGGGTTCAGTTCAGTGATCTGTCTCGAGAAACCTGAAAGGGGCTCGAGCCTCATGTTAGTTTCCCAGCTAGCCTTTGTTTGTTTATTTTTAAAAATTTATTTATTTGAGAGAGAGAGAGAGCACAAGCAGGGGGCGTGGGAGAGAGAGAAGCAGGCTCCTAGCAGAGCAGGGAGCCCGATGCGGGGCTCGATCCCAGGACCCCGGGATCATGACCTGAGCCGAAGGCAGACGCTTAACCATCTGAGCCACCCAGGCATCTCCCCCCACCCAGCTGCCTTAACAAAGCTCCAGAGACTGGGGCCTAAACAGCACACATCCATTCTCCCCAGTGCTGGAGGCTGGACGCCCCAGATCCGGATGTGGCGGGGAGGGGGGCAGTCTCCTGGGCGTGCAGACGGCTGTCTCCTCCCTGGGTCCTCACGTGGTCGTCCCTCTGTGTGTGTCTGTGTCCTGACCCCCTCTTCTTGCAAGACCCCAGCCAGAGCGGAGCAGGGCCCATCCTAGTGGCCTCGTTGACCTTAATCACCTCTTGGTAAGAATCCTGTCTCCAGATACAGGCCCGTCCGAGGTCCTGGGGGTTAGGCCCCAGCATTTGAATTTGGCGGGGGAGGACATGATCCAGCCCATAACACCCGTGTTCAGTAAGCAAACCTATCCCAGCAAGATGAGCAGTGACATCAAGTCCCGCGGGTCGTCGGGCACCTCGGGTGCTGATGGGTCACTGCGTGGGCGCGTGCACTGCTGTGTGTGCCCGTGGGACAGGGAAGGGAACCACGCGCGGATCTTGCTCCCGAGAGTTACGTTCCTGTTGTGGGTGAGATGAGCAGGCGGGTGACTCGTGCGCGGAGGGAAGACCGGAGGACGGTCAGGGTCTCGCTGACACTCGGGTCATAATCTGTGGGGTCCACGTGCTGCCGCTCTGAACCCTGGGGCTTCTGGATCCCCCCCGCAAAATCCACATCGGGGGTCATCACGGGAGGAAGATGCTGCAGAACGTTCCCCGACGTTGGCGGAGCATCCCAGAGGGGCGTGAACCACCCCCGCTCCTCCCGTGCAGGCAGGCCCTGGCTTCCTGTGTCCCGCTTCTCCCGTCTCCCCATGAGCCGCTGGAGACCCGGGCACCGTGGCTCTGCCCCACCCCCACATGCTGCCGTGGGGTGGCTCTGCGTGCCCCTCTGCAGAGTCAGCCCGCGGGCGAACCTCACCTCCAGGGAGCTGCGTGTGGAGAATAGCTTACGGGGCCTTTGCTCATCCAGGCCCACGTCCGCAGGCATTCTCCTTTCTCGGAATTTGGCAACAGTGGTGACTTGGAAAGGATCCTAAGGAGCAGAGAGAGCTTTTGTAGGTTTACTGCCAACAGCAGAGGGTTCTCTCTGGGTTTGCTCTGGAAGGGCGGTGGGGGGTGGGGGTTGCTCCAGTGCTGACTCCCTGTCTTGGGTCGTCATCCTTCTAGAAGGCAGCTCGTCTTCTGCGTGCTCCCATCCTTCCTTTCACTGGGTGTGCACGCAGATACATTTGCCCCTTTCCTCCTCCGGGATGCGATGTTGAGAGCTGTTAGCTGAGATAACAGGGGCTCCCTTTGCGGGAATCGGGTTGCGTGGGCTCTGACGGGCTGGGGACCTGCTGGGGACAGTGGGGCTCCGTTTGTCGTCCCCTCAACGCGGGGCCTCGTGGGTGGTGCTGTTCCTGGTGAGGCCCAGGCAGCATCCACCTGCCGTGTGACCCCCTGAACACGGCCAGCCCGCCCCCTCGCCCTCCGTCTGCACCGCTGACCCCCCCGTCTCCCAGGTCCGCCCCTCCACAGGGCAGGGCCTCAGGTGCTCAGTAAACACGCTGTCCTCGGGGAGGAGGGCAGAGCCCTCGTGAGCGCAGCCGGGCCGTTATGTAACCTCGCTGAGGAATGCTGTGGGTGCAGCTGCGGCGGGAACCTGGCCGGGGTCCAGGCCTTGATGGGCTTGTAAACACTCTCCCGTCCGGCGTGCCTGGTCTTGCTGCCTCCGCGGTGCACACCCGTGGCCGCTTACATTTCGTCCTTGTGGTTGCGAGGCTCGGTGACCTCGCTGCCACGACCCAGCTTCTCAACGGAGGGGACGCCTGCTCAGGGAGCAGCTGCAAACGGAGCACGGTTGTCGGCGCCCTCCTGCTTGGGGCATTCTGGAAGCATCCTCCGCTCCCGCTGTGGACGCTTGTCCTCTGGCAGGTGGTTCTTCCAGACCTCCGTGTGCCCGTCCCCGTGCTGCCCCTGACTTCCTGTGCGCACGCCTTTCTCGCGTCCTGTGCCAACGCTCTCCCGCACCCGGGCGGGGTCTCAGTCATCCCGTGGCCCTAGCTCCGTGGTGGCTATGCTTTCGTTCGTGGCTGCTGCCTGCTGACCTCTCCGTGGGTTTGGGCATGAATTCCCATCTTCTGAAATCGTGGTTAGTGTTGGCACGGGCCGATGCGGGGGTTTGGGCTTGGGGGGCTAGCTCTCAGAGTTTTCCGTCTCCGTGTGTGGCTGTAGCTCGTGCTCCGAGGACGCGCGTTCCTCACGGCCGTTCCAGACAGCCACGGGGCCACCAGCAAAGTGGGGTGGAAGGGGGGGTTCTCTTATCTGGTGGGGAGCACGGACCCTCCTTTGCTATTTGTATTAAGCAGGCGGGAGTTCGGATGATTTGGGGGGAGGTGGCCTTGAGGCGGAGCTGCCCCGGACAAGGGTTGGTGG